TGTGTGTGTGTGTGTGTGTGTGTGTGTGTGTGTGTGTGTGTGTGGGGGGGTGGTCGCCATGATGCAGTTTACTTGGCATCTGAAAATACACAGAGGTATTTTTAATCTGAAAAGAGCTTCACTGAGTGAGAAGTAGTGTTAGGAGCTCAGCAGACAGTTCAAGTTTCACTTTCACTTTCACCAGAGAGTCTGGCGGGGTGTGTGTGTGGGGGGTGCTCTGCTACGAGGAAGTTTAGCTTGTAGACACATCCCAGGGGCGTTTCTGGTCCCAAAAGGCATTTCTGGTCCCCACCTGTCGTTTTGCTCCTCAGCATGGCTTCCTAAAAACGCTGCAGGATTTCTCAAACATGCATGAATGAGTCAAAGCAAGGCTTTGGGCATGTTTTTTATGAGTGTAACATCATAACATGATATAAAACTCAAAAAAGTTGATTTTACATGATATTGCCCCTTTAAAACTTCAGATGTAATTTTTATTTTAGTCTGTTGTTACCTAAATAAAATGGAATTTGTATTTTTTGTTATAATTTTGGGTGCAATAGCAAAGGAATTAATATAACCTACACAGAGAGGAAAAACATGCAGGTTTTACATCAAAATATGAAACTCAAACAAGAAAACTGCTGATATTTGGTAGCAGCACATCATACAATGTAGAATAAATAAATAAAAAAGATCATGATGATGATTGATGATGATTAATTTTATTTAAGTGTCATGCATCTTCTGGTCCCCAGCCCTCATGGGCTTATAAGACACTCCACACATAAAAAAAACACACAACAGGATGGCTACATTCATATCACAAGCCCCACAAAAAATATCATCATCATAATCAGAAACTCATCCGGGATAAGCAACAAATGCAAAAATTTCCCTATCATAAAACCAATTTTTTTCCCTCAGATAACCAAAATACATCTGCCTTATGTCTATTTATAGATAGAAATTTCCATTTTCTATGAACAGCAATGAGATCTTGTGGAAACATCTTGTGCATCATTTATCATTCTAAGTGTAAATGAGTCACAGAAAGTTGGTCTTTTGATAACGCTGTCATTTAGATATATTTATCAGTTTTTACATAATAATAATAATAATAATAATAATTTTAGAATTTGGGGGGATTTTTCCACAGAATGTTCAACTTTCAGTTAAAGATGTAACTCTAATTTTTGAACTATTTAAACTTTTTAAATTTTTTGCAAAGAAACTTTTTTTTCACTTTCACAACCTCTTCAGTACTTATACAAATTATAAAATCAAAACATTGACATTTTTGTCTTTCATTCAGTGTCTCTCACTGCTGTAAAACTTGTTGTTTTAAATCAATTCCTCTTATGGTGCAGAGTCCACACCCAATCGTCTACCTGATTTTAGCTCTAAAACCTTCCCTTCAAAAATGAAAGTGAAGGATCTTTTTAACTTGTCATATCTTCTTCATAAACATTTATTTATTTTTGCTTAAATTATAACAAAGTTAATGTTGGAATTTGGACAGCAACCTAACTAAAAAAAAATTTTCAGAACATTTTTGAAATTTCTAACTAACAAATGTTCTGTAAGGCTGTTACATTGGACAGGAGCAGTCTTTTGTATGAGTGTTTTTTTTTTAGCTGAAAGAGCTTGAGTAGCAGTATGATTCTGCAGTTTTTGTCTGAATGTAAAACCTAAACACATAAAGCTGTTGTTCCTGCAGCCATGTCTCAATAAAACACTATCATTTGACCATAATTCCAGCTGTGTCCTTGTTAGTGCTCCAAGGTTATTAATTTTTTTAAGGACTTCCCATTTCCTGAAAGGTTCAGGGAGATTTTTTTTGTCTTTTTTTTTTCCCTCCATTTTTTGTTGTTCTTCTGCTGTGGTTCTGCGTCTGTGATTTTGTCTCTTAAACCCATCTTATAATTTGTGGTCTTGTTGTGGCCACAAAATCTTAAAAAATGTTTTCAAAAAGCTGTGTTAGCAGGAAGAAAAATAAGCCACCCCAAAATATACAAAGAAGTATGTTGTGAACAGACCTTCTCCAACAATGAAAATAAAAATTTCATTTTATTGAAAAAAATTATATGTATATATACTGTAGTAGTTCCTTATGTTTTGAAGTTAATACATAAAACATAAAAAACACTCCTCAAAACTGTGAGCAAACAGCAGTGACTTTTAGGTAAACCCCAGTCAGCATCCGGTTGTTCACATTCAAGCCACAAGTTGAATATAAAAGATGGCTGAAGCCTCTTTGATGTTAACTGTTCGAACATTAAACAGAAGTGTTGGCACTGCATGTTAAAGGAAGAGGTGAATCTGCTTTAGATACAGGATCAGCTCGTTCATCACAACAAAAATCTAAAGCTGTGGTGACATTTTACACCAAATGAACAAATTTACTAAATAGGAGACAAAACAAGTGTGAGGTTTGGTCATTTTTTTCAAACTTCCAGACAATCTGTGTTTCCTAAATAAAGACACTGTGAGCAACCAAGCTGGACATTTAGAGTCACATGACGTAAGTGAGACCCGGTCCAACTTGAGTTTTGATTGGTTCAAGAAGGTTTTACTGGGTCACATTTCTCCACTTCTATCCTGATGAAGCACAGAGGAAGCCTTATTCACTTACAGAACATATCTGAAGGCTTCACTGATACCATTAATTGATATAATTTTTATAGTGGTGCCCAAAACCAATATCTATACCACTCCTGGTATCAAGTCCGATATTTTACTAGTCTTGCTCTTGCAAAATACCCTGATACTTTGGACCAATACCTGCATCAATACTTGTATTATTGTTCCATTGGATGTGTTATGGTCAGTGGTGGGCAGCTCTAATCTAAATATTAGTTGCACTAACCCTAAAGCACTAACTCAAATATTTAGGTCCCCTAATTTTAAATCACTAACGCACTGAAAAAAATTAGCAAAAGCTAATACTAAAGCACTAATTACCTAGTTGACACATGAAACATTCTTCAGAGTCAACATAAGACAATATTTACTGTGTGCTGAATGCTGTCACTTAGTGCTCTTGGCGGGCCAAATGGGAGTCACCTGCAGGCCACATTTGGCCCTTGGGCCTTGAGTTTGACACATGACCTTGTAGATAAGTGACACACATGAACAAAATGTGTGACAGCTTTCACCCTCAACTGTGAACAATAATGCTGATCAATAACATTTATAGACCTCAGTTAGTGCTTTTAAATTTAGCCTATAAATTTAGCAAGTGCAAACCCTTAATAAACTGCTGGATATGGGCACCAGTTATCCACGCAACCCTGAAAAGGAGGAAGTGTGTACAGAAAATAGATGGATGGATGGAAACCCTTAATAAAATTTTTAATTAGCAAAAGCACCAAAGAACTAATCAATAAATTGGTTCCCCTATTAGTGCTTTAGTGCTTTAGGGGGACTGTGCCCACCAGTGGTTACAGATTACATTTTAAGTGAAATGTTTGTCACAGAAATGTATACAAGCTGAAAGAAAATCTTATTTATTATTTCTATTTATTAAAAAATGTTGCAGCAGTATAGACTACATCATGCTGTATATTTGATTTGATCCAGTCAGAGGGGCTGTGGGTCTATAAGGAAGGAGAGACCCCTTCTACTAAATAAAAGAAATGTTTTTAAAGTAATATTTAGATTCTAACTAATATATACTCTGTATCAGCAGTGGTGCCCTTTATGATTGGCCAGTGGTGGCCCTGGGTACACCCTGGAAATTTGCTCAATCAGTTCACACAACTAAATAAGGCCAATGGGTCAATGAGGAAGAGTACTTCTAGCCTCCACCTGATAATATTTAAAATCTATAAGCATTAAATATTTAAAAAGAGCAAATCAGACGTGCAATAAAGCAGCAGCAGAAGAAGAAACAGTTTAACTGTAAATTTGAGTTAATTGCCAGAGTATTCTCTCTACCTCTGAGTTCACACACAGACAGACAGCCAGCAGCTTGCTAACCTTGAAGCTGCAGACAGTGTCACCCTAAAGTTTTCACTGGCCACATCTGGTATCAGTGCCTGGTATTGGCCAGTACCCAGACTGAAATGCTCATACTCATACTCAGTTTGAGAAAAACTAGTATTGGGACACCTCTGGTATTTTACACAGAAATCACTTCATATATTCTGTTATGTTACAAAGAAAGTCTGAATAAATCTCATTCATAAAGCTAGTTAATAATTGGTGTTTGAAGTTAAATGTACATTACCTGTAGTTTTACATATAACATCTTTAAAGATCTTGAAATAAGATATTCTACTTTAAAAAAAGTTGAAATGATTATTTTACTAACAAGGTCAGGTAAAAAGAGAAGTCCATGGGTCTAATTGGTAGTTTTTATTCAAAGAAAACTCCACTAAATCTTCTTTCATTTGAGTTTTTAAATCTGAATCTCAGCCATCCGTGCGTGGTTTCGTTTTTATGTATTCATGAGGCTAATTTTCACAAATATTATTATGCAGCACACTTCTCAATTTAAATCACTCTGTTGCTATCACCTCGTAAGCTCAGGGACCATCGCACTGTCACCATGGAGACAGAAGGACCCCGCTTTGACACTGGCGAAACAGTAGAAGTCCGTTACTCTGCAATTAACATCCAAACTTTTATTCGGTATCTGTGATGCTCCCTGAATGGAGCTGTTTATCTGGTTTTGCTCCACTGAAGCCAATCATTGTTTTAAAACCAGTTCCAGGGTGACCTGCGGGTCTTAGCTGTCACTCAGGCAGCCTGACACGTCCCACCC